AAAGAAATCCCATAAACCATAACATCATTATTCTTCTAACATGAAGTAGGTGGCAACCTGAACTGGTAGAAAAGAGCATGAGTTGTGTGTCCTGGGATCATGGCCACTAAAGAGTAGTTTTGCTGAGCATGACACGAGGGGTTTCGGGGTGGGGGGGGACTGGGAGGTGGGATTGCAGGGGAAGCTAGGCTCCAGCCAGGGTGTCTGGAGCTACAGTGTATTTCTAACATTTCTGTTCCTGTTCTGGTCTAGGCCAGCAGAAGCCTAGCTTCCCATCCTAACTTCCACTCATGAGTCTTCTCCCAAGTAACTGGAGCTGTATGAGGGAAGGATTAGCTTGTGATTTTCTCAAATAAGCCTTCCTACCTGATTTAGTTATTTCTTCAGTACAGTTAATCTGCTTAATTTCTTTTGTGGGGTGGGGGGGGGATTGATGGTAGAGGCAGGACACTTTGTTTGACAGAAAGAAAGGAGAATCTGAAATTCTGTATTTGAAAGGAAGCTGAGTGGGCACTTCAAGACAGCTTGGAACAAGGGAGTCTTGATGAATGTTGGAGGAATGCAGTGAAGATATCAATGTGCCAGTAGAGCCGCAGATGCTCAGTGACAAGCGATGGGGCTGAGAGCTTATCTCCGGCTCTATTTCAGTTACACAGCCATGCTCCTTAGATGGTAACAACTGTGGCCCAATCATCTTAGGTTTTTCCTGTCATGATCTTGGCACATTCCCAAGCTGGCCTGACATTGCAGGAGAAGTCATCTAATTTATGTCTTAGTACTGCACATGGCCATTCTGAAACTTTCCAAGACTGGAGAAAGGCATTTTATAAGCTGAAGATGGAAATATCACCACATTTACCTGAAGTAGAGTCTTGGAATTGTGGAGCCACAAGGGACCTTAGCAATCATCCGATTGCATCCCTTACATATTTAAGAAAACAGCCCTGAGGATAAATGGTTTCTGTAAGATTGTATATTAAAAGCAAGGAGAAATTTTTGAGGTGAGGAAGTTTTTGTGGACTAGAGATAAGTACTTTTGCTACCAAATTTTTGGAGGTAACAATTATCCTTTACAGCATGCTACTTGCAGATGTTTTGATAGTTTGTAGTTGACTTTTTCCCATTCCATTTTTCAGAAACTCAATGTTGAAAGCATTTCAGGTCCACATTTGTGAAGGCACAGTAGATACTGAAGTTTAAAATAATCACAATCACTAATGAGGTGGCTTCTTGAGAACCTTTTTTTTTCCTTTGATGGCATATTTCTTTTTGGTGATTATCTCAGCGAATGAGTTGATCAACTAAGGTATCTGTTGCATACTGACATTACAGCTCTCTGAACGTTTTATGGCCAAGGAAGATTAAAGGGTACACACATTCATCTATTATGTGTTGCTTCTACTTGAGAGAATATTTCAAAAATAAGAGAATTTCATTTCTATGGATTATTTCTTATTTGAATCTGAAATCTGCTGTTAAATTTACCTGACTATTCTAATTTAATTTTTTAAAGTTTTTATGTACTAATTGTGAAATTCCCAGGAAAAGTCATGTGCTTTTTTTCATATTTCAGAAACAGATTTGTCTAACTCTTACATTGTGCATAGAATTTTATTAAAGCTACATCAAGGAGAGAAAAAAAAAAGAAAGGTTTTTTTTATATATAGAAATTAGAACTAATAAATAATTTCTTTACTATTCTTCAGAAAATGGAAAATCATGGCAAGTTTTAAAATCTTACAATGCCTGGTACATAGCATACACTTAGTGAATTTGTTAGAGGAAAGAATTAATGAATATAAAACTGAAACCATTTGAAGTTTCTTGCCCCTAAAAGTCGACTCACAGGATATCAGTTAGTTAAATGTCATATATTTAAAATATGTCCTAGTTGGGTATATTAAGAGTAGCAATGACCCAGGAGTTCAAAGATCCTGGCTCAAGGCCAGGCACCAACAATAAATAAATAACAGAATGTTATTTGTTGACTAAATTCTGCTGAGTCTCAAGTCTTTATAGATGGAATGATTGATTTGGAACAAGTTAATTCTGATATTCCCAGAAGTTTCAAAATTCCACATCTGAATAATTCAAATTAAGGAAAATTGGATATAAATTTAATAAGCACTTATATAGTGCCTATTGTGTGCCAGGTATATAGATGCTTTGCATGGTATGTGATCCTGCAATAATAATAATTAAACATTAACTATGCATGCATAGTTAATTTTATGTATACTGTAAATCATTAAATAATTAATCATTACATAATAATTAAATAATTGTTGTCACATCTTAACATAAAATTCATTATTAATATTCCCAGTGCACATTTCATTTCAGGAAAATAAACTAAAAACTATTGTGCATTCCACAGTAAAAAGTGAAGTAGAAGGCACATATTTTCCTGTAAGTATAGACCAGAAAGTAATACAGTGACAGAAAATTCAATTGGGAGGATACTAACAGGCTTTAATTCCTATGCTTTGTAATAGTCAAAATCTCAAACTAAAGGGGTAGAAATGGACAGGAAGTTGGCAAGCTCATTAAATTCCATGTCTGGACATGCTGTGTGAGTCCTTGTCTTATTATTTTGACAACTGCAGATGCTCTACATATTTTCATTCCTTCCCTGCACATCTATGCTTCTACTCATTTTTCATGGCCAAACTTGGGTACCACTTCCTCTAGGATTTCCCTGAGTCAATACACAGCCACCTTCACTCCACTCAAATGTTCTCTCCCCATACAACATTTCTACCTTGTGTTAATCTCAAGCATATTTCTATTATTCAACTTCCTAGATTTATTACATTACTACCCCATAGTCTTTTTCATTCATTGAACAGTGAGTTTGAGAAGAGGAACTATGCTAGTTCTTTGTTGGGTTCCCAGATCCTTGCAGCATGCCTGACACAAATGACATGCCTAAGATGTTTTTGTTGAATGGGTAATGGGTAGATGACAGCAATAACTGGTATTACTATTCAAATCATTCGAATCATTGGACCTCCTCCTTGCATTATAATTTGATAAGAAAATGTGATGAAAATTGAATGTGTTGCAAAGAGGGCAGTGAAAAGAGAAATGGAGTTCTTGTACATGTGCGCAGTATTTTTAAAATCAACATTTCCTTTAAGTCATCCTTTATTCCCCTTTCCCTGAAGATAGTGGAGAAATTGGAGGAAAATGAAACATAATTTTTAAAATACATTCAACATGTATTGACTGAACATTTATTGTCCACAGTGGTATGAATCCTACATAGATGGAGAATTTATCATCAAAAACACTGTAGTTTAGATATTTAAGAAACATGCATAAGGAAAGAAAGAAATACATGACATTGGAGATCAATGTTTATCTGTAATATGGATCATACAAAGATCAGAAATAAGTTGGCCAGAATTACCAAGAAGCTGTCAGCAGGCAGGAGAGCTAAATTGGATCATCACAGCTCAAAACCTGTTCTCATCTATCAGACTTGTACCTAGACATTGTAAGGTCTAAGGAGATAGCATATCACACACCAAATTTACTAGGGCTTGAAAATCTAAATGACCATTACCAAGACAACTGGATGGTTGATTATGATTTAAATGTGGACACAGAGTAAATAGAACTGTATGCTACTGGAGATGTAGTTGTACAGTGCAAATGCACAGGCCTGACTTCCCACACTGCCTTTCTCTTCAGGAATCAAAGTCTAGATCCAGTATTTCCCTTTGTAAAGCAGTACTGGATAAATAGAGAACCAGGTCATTGCAGGTATTTACTGTATGTGATAACTGTCAATGTTATGGGATTTCAAAAAAATTGAAAGATGACATTCAGAGATCAAAAACACGTTGTTTTAGGTAGCTTAGAGTGTGCAACTATGAACTGCGGACAAACAATCTAAAAAGAAGGGAGAGCATGAGCAAAAAAGTAATTGGTTATTTTATTAGACAAAAGTTATGCAATGAAGAATATTAGAATAACATGAAGGGCTTGATGGGTTAAATGGGACAGCAAGGAATCATAGAAGAGAAAAAGTATTGTACTTCAGGTAAGTGAGTTTGGTTGCAATATGTGAGTTGCATTGAAGGCCATAAGCCCAGAGAAGAGTTTATTAAGAAGTTTCATAATCTACATTGATGGATGAAACTAGGTCACTATCAGTAATGCTGAAACAGAGAGATTAGCAAGTGCAAATCAAGAAGTACCATCTTTTTTTTCCTTACACACAAACACTCCAAAACAAAATATAAACCTATAAGCTATAAAATCTATATGTAATTTAACACAAATCCTGCCTTATTCCTGTGAAATTCTTCAATTATAAAAAATAGAAGATTGAAAAGTCACTGATTCGTCTAGCAAATTTGATTGATTTTTGGGTTGTCAATTAGCAAGTTTGATAAAAATGGTATTTTCACAACAGGCAACCAGAGACCAGACACATTTTGTAGAAGAAGAGGAGGGAGAAGGATCAGGACAGGGACGGGAAAAGCATAAAGGACTATGGTGGTGGGACACAGGTGGAAATTTCATGGAGAAATTATGCATTGTACAAAAATGAAAGATGATGCAATAAATACATATATGTATGTATGTATGTATAAGAATCCATATGATACTAGACAACAACTGGATCATAAGTTTGGATACAGAACAGCAGAAAATGTGGAACATGAACATGAAACTTTTTCTAATGTGTCTAGAAGAAACTGAATAGCAAGGATGTTAAATCTGAATTCCTAGAGTTTCCATTGTAAACAGAAATGGCTGAAATATCATTCATAACTTTAATATATATGTGTGTGTGTGTGTGTGTGTGTGTGTGTGTGTATCTTTAAAATAAGAATTTTAAAATAAATGGGATTTTCAAAGCATCAGTACATTGTGTGTCCTAAAGGGGAAGTAATATTACAATAAGTAAATATTGTCTCCCAAAATGTCCTAGTGATATCCCTAAAATACTTTCAAACACTCTCTAATATTGGTAACCCAACTAACAGGAATGTTGCAGAAAACAGAAACAGGACCTTTGTGAGAAGTTTGATTACCTGTATGGCATTCTGGAGGAGAGAAAGAATGAAATGACCCAAGTTATTACTCGAACCCAAGAGGAGAAACTGGATCATGTCCGTGCTCTGATCAAGAAGTATTCTGATCATTTGGAGAATGTATCGAAGCTGGTAGAATCAGGAATCCAGTTCATGGATGAGCCAGAAATGGCAGTGTTTCTACAGGTAAGCCTTCTTTAGCACCAGAGGGAACTAACCAAGGTGGGTGTTTGGAGAAGTCAGTGTCATGATAGTTTTATTATTTTGCTTATCTTATTTTGCTCTATTTTGCCAACTAAAATATAGATGTGTTATGAGTTTTTATCTCCATCTGTTTAAACAATTCCATAAGCATATATTTAAGGACTATGACATCAGTTAAATACAAGAGAGTTCTGGTATAAAATAGCAGTTATTTATGGCATTTAAAAACTAAGCTATGAGATTTTCAGAGTCAGCAGAGGAAAGAATTAAGTCTCAATACCGTCTTTGATGAAAAGAATTTAAGTAGGCCTATCTTTTGTTTACTTTCACAGAATGCCAAAACCCTGTTACAAAAGTAAGTAATTTTCATTTCATAAAAATTGCATACTTTTCATTTTTATCTGAGGTTATCAAACTTTAAACAGTGACAGAAAGTGGCAACTTGTCTTTGTTGCAGAATTTCTGAAGCATCAAAGGCATTTCAGATGGAGAAAATAGAACATGGTTATGAGAACATGAACCACTTCACAGTCAACCTCAATAGAGAAGAAAAAATAATACGTGAAATTGATTTTTACAGAGGTTTGTTAATCTTGTGACCATTTGGCAAAAATTGCAGGTGTGTGAAAGCTGCAGAAGGATTCAGTGGGAGGAAAGGGGGATTCAGAATCACCTCCAGAATGGATGTCAACAATTTTACAAGGAACATAATCCAATGTGAAGCTCTATTTCATTACAGAATCATAAGTTTGTTGGCTGGATTTATTTAGCTTTTTATATCATAGTGGCTATTATAGTGCTATCATTTGAAGCATCTGATTCTGAGAAGTAAAAAAAAAAACAAACAAACAAAAAAAAAAACTGATGGTAATGATGAGCTATCTCAACTTCAACCCTACACAAGGTGTTAGCCAAATGATGTAAAGTATCATCAGATGCAAGGTTAAAGATGAGATAAAAATAAAACATAGAAGACACTTGGCTAATATTATAGATATCCACTCAATCAAACTTTAGAGGGCAAATTGGAAATAAAGCCAGTTCTATATGACCAGATATATTCCATAAGTTATAAACATCCCCCTGCCCTTTAGGCCAGAAGTCCCACTCCTGGACATTTACCCTGATGAAATAATTGGAAAGTGAAAAGTAACCTTGGAACTAATCAAAACATTGATCTCCTGATTCACCATAATGCATCTGATTGACATGACAAGACTCTTCAGCTAAGCCATTAGCAGTGGCAGGAAGCTGCATCAGTGTCCACATGTGTAATTTTAGAAGGACATCTTCAGGATGGAGTTTTTTTTTTTAATTATATAATATTGTCTGTCCACAAATGCCTTCGTAAATATTAAGATCAATGGGTCAGAAAAAGAAGCATTGCATTGGTAGTCAAAATTGAGCTTTCACAAATCAGTGGAGATGTATTAAAATAAGACAAGTGTTTTGGATCTTTTCTGAGATGGAAAGAGAGTAGTGTTTCCATTTAATTTGACAGAGATAATTAAATGACAATCCCTGCCCTCCAGAAGCTTGCAGAAGTGACAGCACATTTTAAAATGTGTAGGGGGATGAGGCAGATGGTGCCCAGTGGTGATGAGAGTGCACTTTGCACTGGGAAAGGGAGCAGAGGATAGTATTGATTGTGTCCATCTTCACACTTGTGCTGTCCACATTTAACCAGAAGCATAAATCACCAACTTTGGCCCAGTGTTTGTTGGAGAGAATTTTTCTAGCCTTGACTTGACCCTGGGCTATAAGCATTGGGCACTAATTGTTTCTATGGTTGCAATAGTAATTATAATAATTTTTGAAAACACATTACCAGAAGATGAAGATGAAGAAGAAGAAGGAGAACAAGAAGACGAAGGAGGAGAAATAGAAGAAGTCAGAGAAATAGAAGAGGTAGAAAATATTCGAACAGAGTCATCAGGAGAAGATGAAACTGCAGAGGAAGGTTTGGAGCCCTCTCAACTGGCCTCGGAGCTCCAGGCTGCCACTCAGGCACATCCAGTTTCCTCTCCAGAGCCTCCTGCTACAGATGCCCCAGTGACACAGGTAACCATCCTTGGGTTTCTTTAAGAATGCAGATGTGCCTTCTTGCTGAATAGCCTAAACAATTTATTCTACCTAAAGAAAAAGACAGCTATACGCCAGACATTTGCATGTGGAAAAGACAAAAGATTTTAGAGCAATACTGCATCAGGGAGAAAGGTCTTCTTGGTAACTCACAGGTTTGTTGTTATATAATTTGGCAAGACTTAGTTTAAGATAATTTGCCCAGCAGTCTGAAGAAATGTTTGTCGGGAAAGTGTGTGTGTGTGTGTGTGTGTGTGTGTGTGTGAAGTTGGTATATGGATTGGGTATGCACTGAAAATGAATTTTAGGTATTGGGTAAAAAATTAAAATGACTATACTTTAAGAATTTTGAATTTTCTGTAGCTAATAAAAGGCAAATAGGGAAGTGATAATAGTTTGTCCTTCTTACTTATCCTGAAATATAATTATATCTTTCATTCACTGGAAAAACAACTGAAGCCTAGCATGGGACTGTCACTTGATGTTGACAGAATTGTATCAAAAATTTCTAGGAAATTAGTTCATCCAGATGCTGTACCTCATTGATTGACCTTGTGTTCTAAGATGTCACAGTCCAGTTTTAAAGCCTTTGTGTTGACTCCATGATACCTAGCGTAGACAGGTCCTAACCTATTGATCTTATATGCATTATAAACTCATCAAAAGAAGACCTGGTGTTGCTCCTACTTTGAGAGTAGACTGAAATGATTTATAGAAACAAGAGTCAGAGAGGGACTTCCTCTGAGGAGACTATGGAATTATAGTCTTTGCTCTCTTTTCATAGGAAACCAGATTAAAATGCTATTTGCAGTTCCTAGGATCTTGAAATTCTGTATATAATCAATTGTTCTTAAACTGAAAAAGATGCAGTTACTAAATGAGAGTAGATTTGGTGAATATGATCAATTTTAGGCTTCATAAAAACAGTTTAGGGGGTCCACACATAATGTCAAAAATTAATTCAGGCTAATAGTTTGACCTTCTATAGCTGATCTTTTATTAGCAACTTTCATTGTGGGCTTCTGCTCTGTCTTCTCAGGCTACCAATTAATGAAAGACAAGCCCAGAAAAGAAGGAGGGTACATATAGCTGCCCAGGAGGGAGAGGGCTAGGTCAGTATCACTTCCTGCAGCTTTGGCCAGGGTGGGGTGAACTAAATGCACCCTAAGTTAAGCACTGCAGACAGAGATCTCACAGTTTTCAAACCTGAAGGAAACTAAAATCGATTGCTTTTCTTCTTCCCTTTTTTTTTTTTTTACTTTAAATTTATTTGTCCTGATTAAGGGGGAGGTTGTACCCACTGACTCTCAGCAGACCACAGAGTCTGAAACTCCAGTCCCTGCAGCAACGGACACTGCGGATCCCTTATTTTACCCTAGTTGGTATAAAGGCCAAACTCGGAAAGCCACTACCAACCCACCTACCACCCCAGAGAGCCAAGGTCTGGGGCACATAGGGCCTACAGAAGCTGAGGAGTCGAATGTGCAGAAGGCAGAAGTGGCAGAAGCCTCAGCCAGTGAGAGGGCAGCAGTGAGTGGTAAGGAAACTAGTTCACCTGCAGCTACTTCTCAGGTTAGTGTTGATGCTCTTGTGCCTGGATGCTTCCCCATGCTGTCTAGGGTTCTGTTGGAATCACAGCAAGAAAGAAGGGCTCTCTCCCTGGTGGTGCAACGGGTTAGGACACAGCACTGCAAGCTAGCCGCAGCTGCTTCAGTGCAAGTTCCATCCCGGCCACTCAGGTGATCCACATGGCGTGGCAGACCTCTCCTGACCCACCCGCTGCTCCCCTCAGCAGTGTACTTTGTCAATCTGCCTTTTCTGCTCCCCACTCTGGTGAATCCTCTCATCGCCCTTCACCTCTGGTTTGTATCCTAGTTCTGTATGCATAAATTAATTAATAAATCTAAAAAAAAAAAAAGGGCTCTCACCTGGGCAGAGAGGAAACATGTCTTCGGGAAAAACACAGAAACAACTCAAATCCCTTCCCACCTCTGCCTGGCTTGTTGTTTAAGCCTTATATAAAAGAAAAATTGGAAACCAAATTTAAATTCACGTTTGCCCATGTGTGGTGACTTCACACCTGACTTCTGGGGGAGTGGGTGCAAGCAAGCCTGGCCCTGAGGCATGCAGTTGAAATCTGCTTTGTCTGTGGTAACTGGCTGTGTCTCTGGTTCTTTGCAATGGCTACTTGCCCTTGCTCCTCCTTGGGCTTCAAAGACTAATCACCTGCTTTTGTGTCATTCCCAGCAACCCCCAAGGAGCACATCTGAACTGAATTTTAAGTCTGCTCTGGAAAATAACCTCTGATTCATGGATCTGGGGAATGTGCTGGCTGTAGCTAGGCAAAAGCAGTTGGGGCTTCATTAAACTGGGCTTCCTAAGCATGTGCCTAGGGAAAAGCCCAGAAAGGCATAGGTTACCTCATTTTTTTTTTAAAGGGGAAACTGAATACTTTCCACCACTACCACCCCCTTTTTTGTAATGAACATTTGAAATCCATGTCTTCTTCCTAACACTGGGCAGATATTTGCATGATTTGAAGATTCCATAGAAGAAATCTTCTATGACATCTTCACAAGGAAAAACGTTCATGGTTACTCCATACCCATGAGCATTCCTAAATGCCGTGTGTGTGTGAGTGTTGCACAGACAAGGAGCTGTCAAAGAAATGTTGCAGTTCCCTACTCCTGGGTCATCAGGTGTATGAACATCAAACTTTTTTTTTTTTTCAGTAATCAGATGATTACTCAAGTGAATTTCAATTTCTTGCAGTAATAAAAGGAAATGGCTTTTGAAAAGTTAAAGTAATAGGCTTTGTGCTATATAGTTGAAAATAAATGTTCGGCATGAGAAAACTTTTGAAGGTAGACTTTAAGTTATAAAAATGGAGTAGATTATTTCTAGAAAAACCACATGTCTGAGGGAAGTTGAACACAGAGTAGCTGTTTTCTAAAAAAGACTACTGTTATATCCTCATGAGGAGCAGCATGTAATAGGGCTCTGAATCAAAGTAAAAGATCCAGTCATGTTGGAAATGATGTTGAAAAAAGTATTTGTGATAACATCAGTGAAGCTTTCTTCTTGTTTTCTCACAGGAGTTAGCAATCTGCCTAGCGCTTTTGGCTTTTCTTATACTTCACTACATCTGGCGTCAGATTCAGTGCTTGATTTTTACCTTAATGGGTAGGAAATATTTTCTTTTTCATTGACTAACATCTCATGTAGCTTCTTCCATAATGTTCCTCTTCTTTAGGCACAGAGATGAATTTCTCCCCAGCCTTGAGGCTCAGCCATCTAAAATGAACTAAGATACTAGACAATTCTCATGGCCTCATGCACCTGACAATGCAATCTCCTCAAGACACCTTCCTGAGGATACTTGCTCAATTATCTAATCCTGCATGGAGGGGACTCCTGATTCATAACAGTGACTCAGTGGGCAATTATTCAGTAATCCAGTTGGAGGAAACCCATTATAATGGTTATGAGGGCAGGCCAATTTGTAAAGCATTCATGGAGTGTGCGATTTCCCTGCTCTTATTATATAGGGAGGAGCAGCAAAGGACTGCCTCAGAAATATGTAGGATTTCCATAGATTCAGTAGCAGCATTTCATCCTCTCACTCCAAAATTGCCTAGGGAGTGATCCAATGATCCCAACTGAGGATACTTTTGTAGGAGGTTTCTGCAGTGGTAGGCTGGTGCACTCTTTTTTAACTCTCAAGACCCTCAGTCTCTCCTGTGGACAGAAACATCAGGGTAGCTGCAGCCAATTGAACTCTAAGTGAATTAAGAGTCGAAAGATCAGGGGTCATCTAGCAGCCTTAGGAAAGTCTGCTAAGCAGCTTTTCAAAGCAAAGTTAGAAAGCCAACAAACAGTCCCTGCGTATTATTGTTGAGTCACATTTCTCATAGTCAAGCCTTTTCTATTTTAGTGTTATGAATTTTGCTAATGAACTGACATCTTAATCTTTTAATAACTTTTTGAATGTTATCAATTTAATTAATAGTATTCTAAAAATTTAAGCCCCATGTACTTTTGAGAAGACCCTGCTGGACTTGAGACCCAGCTCCCTATGCCTGTAGCTCAGAAGCAATTCAGAATGACTGGTGCTGAAAGGCTTCAGCTATTCCTGGCTCCTTGACTTTTCTCTGGATTGACAATGACTTTTCTTGAAGCTTCTCTCATACAGGTCCTTTCTGCTTCATTAATTTTCAGTGATGGTGGTGGGATCTCCATGGGTCCCTGTCATGTCTGTAATTTTAGGGGAGTGAGACCTGCCCCCACTGTCTAGTAGTCAGCCTATAACCTGTGTATACTAGAGTTTCTGAGAGTCCTTATAGTCTGCTCAGGTGCATAACACCTACTCCCATCATTTGTGATGAAGAGCAGTGGAAGGATATACTGGCCATGAATTCAGTGGGGCAATGAGAAGCAAGAAAACTCCATGCTTTACTGGAATATTCTAATTATGGATCTGAATAATTGTCTGAAGAGTTCAGTTTACATGTGGAAAATTTAGGATTGTGGTTTTGTCATCATATGTCCTTGTATTGCTTCTCTGAGGCTGCAGGGGAGTCATGCTTCTTGTCTGTCATTTACTGAGCCCATGTAATGTGCACTCACATTCATCTGGCAACCTGGTGAGGTGAAGTTGGAACAGGTGTTGTGAGGTAAGATGAGTGGACCTTCGATATTGCAAAGAACCTTGCTGGTATAGTGCTCAGTGTTTGAGAAAAGGCCTTTCACATAAGAAAGAAATCTATCATGACAGAGTACTAATATTTGATCCCTGAAAAGGGACATGGAAAGCTCTATAGAGACCTACTCATAGTATCAAATTCCTGGCCTCTGTGATTTATTTACAGGCCTGATAGCCCTTCATCATCTAAGAACCCATGCACTAACCTAATAAGTGTCAAATCCAATGTTGCCTTGTTGGAATTTGATACTTAATCCTTAAGTCTTTCTCTGAACATTTAGGATGTAACACAAAAGTTCCTTTTTCATTGGTATTTCACCTCTGCCTACTCTGAGGTCCCATGTCAGGCAATGAGATTGCGTTAGAAGCTCATAACATCTGAGGCTTATTTGCTGAACTGTAAGCTCACTACAGCCCCCATCAGTGGAAACACAAATCTTTCAAGAGGATAAATGTTCTATTTCCAGGTGTTTTCCTTGTAGCCATTCATATGGTGAAGCCTGCCCTTTCTTTTAATGACTGATTTTTCATGCTATCTAATCTCTGTTTATCATTTGTCTTCTCTGCTTATTTAGTCACATAGGCAGGTTATTTTTTAATAAGTGGCTATAGCAAAAACCAGACATCACTTCTCCACCAGTGGTGAATGGAGAGTCTGGCTTTTTGTTAGATTAGCGTGTCATTGCTGCATCCTCAACCTCACTGTCAAAGAGAAAATAATTTCCCAATAAGATTTGAACTCAGACCTAACAGCAAATTTCACCACCTGATTCCCACTCATTCTGTAGGATACACTTTGAAACTTATCATGTCCTGTCCTTCTATCCTTCCAGAAAGGATGGGAAAAATGTCAAAAATCACACTGAGCAAAATCCTTATGCATACATTGGTCTTTAGCACAAAATCACCCTCTAAGTTTCCACCTTGCTAGGCCATGTTGCGCTACACTCTGTTAATACAAAAAGAGTTTGGTGGAAACAAAATTTGGTCAACCTGATGTGGCAATTTTTAAATTTATTTTGAAAAATTACATTATACCCTAGTCAATCTCAGACGATAGAGTTATAATAAAGAAAAGGACCCCCGGCCCTCCCTGGTGGTGCAGCGGGTTAGAGCACTGCACTAAGAAGCTTAAGCCACTTCTGCATGAGTTCGATCCCCGCCTGCCCCGGAGGTGACCACATGGCGTGGCAGACCTCTCCTGACCTGCCCGCTGCTCCCCTCAGCAGTGTACTTCATCGATCTGCCTGTTCTGCTCCCCACTCTGTCCTTGGTGAATCCTCTCACCCTCCGCATCTCTGGCCTGTACCCGAGTTCTGTATGAATAAATAAAAAAATCTTTAAAAAAGAATATTCAGCATTCTTAAAAAAAAAAAAAGAAAAAAAAGAAAAGGACCCCAAAGAGCAGCCCTTAGAAAGCTGTCTCGAACCTCATTTCCTGGGGAGTCTTCCTGTGTCATTTCCCTGTCCGATTGGTTTCCAGCCATCCCTTCCTTTTCCTATAGTACTTGCAAGCAAATTATATTTTGGGATGAATTATACATGAATCATCTCCATTCCCACCCCCATGGACAATTAGCATTTTATTGGGAATGTGAGTGGCAATCAGTTTTTCCAGTGTAAACAGCAATAATGAGAGTCCTTTCCTTTTTCCTTCCCCCTTTTCCAAATGAAGCTTGGTGATGTTGTGTGGAAGAATTTGTCCAAACCATTTCATGGGTACTGTTTAGGGAGCAGGGGACTTCTAGAGAAATGTCTCCCTGTTTGGTGGACAAATGTGGCAGCTGCTCTGGCTGATACTTGAGCTGGACCATGGCAGCTGCTTCAAGGTCAGAGAACCCCCTCTCCCTTACTTTTATTATTTCCCGCC